CACTACTCTCTCTCTCTCTTCCTCAAGTGATCGTAACCTGTGTGTACCTAGAAGGGATAAATGGGTTCATATCCAGAAAACGAACTTGGAAGAGGGGGGGGGGCCAAAAGAGTAACTGATTACGCAGTTTTCACAAGCTATCCAATAAGATCAAATTGCAGGAAGTGTGTGATGGAGGCTGCGCCGATGAGCCCAGTCGACCTCCTGCAAGGTTACGTTCCCAGAATTCACAGTGAGTCCTATATGTTTTAAACTATCTTACCCGAGCAATATTGTTAACCTCACCTAGATCTCGCGATCTTTCACCTACTACAAGTTATCGCCTCAGAAGCCGTACCAACATTGAAGACGAAGAGGTGACTGCCATTTTTGACATCCTACATCTTCGCACCGTTCCCTCGAATGTAGCATACTGGCGCACTGGGCCTCAGAAGCTTTGATTCGCTTAAGTCACGGAACAAAGTACTGTAGTTTTTGACACCTCTAAAGGCCTTTTGCAGTAATTCAAGGGTTCTCTATACAGAGTTTGCCTTTTTGTAATAGGCTCTTTAGAGAACGATCTAAAGCACTCTTACTGCATACGCTACAAAAACAAGTGCACAGTCAAAAGTAGACTGCGTGCGAAGTATCAAGTCTATCATAGTTTTTAAGATGCCTCCAAGAGCCAGTTCAGTAAAGAGGAGTACAATAGCTGCAGCTAGGAGGTTAAGAAATGAGAGTTCACGGCTGAATACATCGTTCACCATCACTTCGCCCTTGCCGGTGAGTTTAAGTTGTTCACTGTATATTGATCTGTCATATATCTTAAAGCAGAATTTATGATGAAAAGGACTCTGGACGCAGTCCTTATGGTCAAAATAGGGGAGCTATCGCAATATACGGGGGCATCCTTTAGGACTGAGCGTGGGGCTCCGTAAAAAAACGATAATGGCTCACGCACCTTGGAGTCCCTCCGCCAGGTTAAGTCTCGTTTACAAGAAAAAAATGTTTTACGAGGTCTCCATATGCATTGCCATCATGATGTCCCGTACCTTGCGATAGCGCCGAATAGGGGATGCATTTCTTAGAGAGGCAGAGTTTTTGGGGCCCATCTCCGGCGAACCTTGCTGCGCCTCCCGCCTGAATTGTGTGGTGCATGGCTGCGATAAGCATTTTTGTGCAAAGATGGATGCGTAGCGCATCCTAGAAAGAAACTGATAAACGTTAATGCTTTATCCTTATCTTAATGACTAGTCTATTTGAGGACTAATTTTCTATTGAGTATCCTACCCTTCTTTTCAGGAAAAGCGAATTCCTCGACGACCGCAGCATTACGAATGTGATACCTACTCGACACTTTCTCGTAAACGCGTGAGTGTAGGTACTACTCACAAAATGGTCCTTCAGAGCCTCTCAACGTGGACGCGAATTCTGGTATTTGGGCTACCTTGGGCGTGGTTCGCCCACAAATCAGAACATTAACACAAAAAAGGGAACCTTTTTATCTAAATGTTTCTCATGGTCCCTTTACAGTGTGCGCTACGACGACGTCCAGCACTTAAAGATAGTATGCCTCTTAGTGAAGAGAATAAGGTACTACCAGTACCAGCTCCTACAACGTCTCGAGCTGCACCAGCCCCTGCTACACGATCTAGGACTACACGAGCCAAGGTACAAAACGTTCTCGTCATTATTTAAGAGTTTTACGGATACACCCTTTGAGATGGAGTTTTTCGTTGAGAGTTAGCCATGTAGTTTTGCCTTTTCAAGACTGTGGAAAAGAAGACGGAAACCGAGAAGAAAGTCTCCAAACCTCGAGCCAGATCGTGAGTGCATCTGTTGTTCTGAATAGTTGAAATACTTGTGGTGTTAGGGAAAGATGAGGGGTACCCGACAGGAGGCCCGTCGCGCGGCAAGAAGGCAGAGTCAGCGGACGAGTCGCAGCGCGTGATGTGCGATGTAGGACGTACAATGGTACATTCTATTTAACTTGACGCGAAATCACTACAGTACGCGCTGCGACTCGTCCGCTGACTGCCTTCTTGCCGCGCGACGGGCCTCCTGTCGGGTACCCGCAACTGTAGCAATGAAAAAAATCCGTGAATCTCTCTCTAAAAAACACGGTTCAAGGAAAAAGAGTGAACCTGTACATGGTGCAGTTTGCTGGAACAATGTCTGCGACTGTGTGCTGCTCGAGATCTTACGCTCACAACCTTTAGTTACACTTTTGGAGAAGAAAGGTGTAAGTATCTCACCATAATATGTACCTACATTATTTGAGAGTAGTGTCTAGGGTTGAATGCAGGCTGAAGGCGTGGGTGGTTCTTGAAAAACACTGCTGCCTTTTTTGGGTGACCCCTACTTCAACATAAGAACGCTTCTACAGCGAGGCTTTAGCAATGGAGTTTATGGTT